TGGCATGCTTAAGATGAGTTCATCAAAATCACTTTGAGGAATGGCCGCCCATGTGTTTTGTAACAAGTCAAAATATTGTTGTAGAGTATGTACGGTATGCATACTCGGCACAGCTCTTCTTTGAAGCATATCCCATGCGTGCTCAATTGGATTGAGGTCTGGCGATTGAGCAGGCCACGGCAGAACGTTGATACGAGCTTCGGCAAGAATGCGTGTTACGACTCTAGCCGTGTGTGGACGTGCGTTGCATTAGTTGAAATGAATCACCCAACTGGCCTCGCAAAGGGATGATAACATCTGAAACAACCCTCTCTGCGTAAACTTGAGCATTGAGGTTACCCCTGATCCAAATGAGATCGGTTCTTCCGCCGATCCAAATACCGGCCCATATCATTATTGTTCCCCCACCATATGGATGAACTTCCTGACAATATCTCAAACGTTCATGACGTCCAGATGTTCTCCAAACTCGAGTACGTCTTGTATCCGGTCTCATACCGAAGCGGGATTCATCCGAAAAGCACACATAGTGCCAGTCTTCTTCCTCCCAGTTTCTGTGTTCGCGAGCCCATCGTAAACGGGTCCTGCGATTGCAGGGTGCAATAGGTGGAACTCTGAGCGGCCTTCGGGATCGCAGACCCACTTCACGTAAACGATTTCGGATTGTTTGATCGCTTATTAGCAAGCCTGAGGAGCTGTGGAGCCTCGTAACCAACATCATGGCGGTCATGGTACGATTCCGTCGAGCAGTATTTTGGATTTACCGGTCCTGTCTGCGAGTCGTGATGCGAGATCGTCCTCCATGTCGCTCGGCCACGCTGCCTGTCATGCGATAGCGCGTCCAGAGGCGACTTATGACGCTCTGTGTAGTGTTAAGAGTGAAAGCCACAGCACGTTGCCTAGAACCAGCTTCCAACATTCCGACGGCTCGCATAATCACTTCTCGGGTTAAATGATGTCGTCTCTCCATAATAACGTAAATTGTTTCGGTTCCGATGCAGATATTGTAATGATTTTGTCAAAACGCTATAACTCATTTTTATACAAAACCACATTGACAATCGATTTTCTTCTTATTATCGAATTTTAAACAATATTCCTTATTTAAATGTTAAAACTCACTAAAAAGTATCAATAGCGATACAAAAAAGTTAATATAATTAACCCTAATTGCAGCAATACTCTTAAACGTACTTGATCCCTAGACACTTTTGATGTGTGTACTTTAGACATCAATGATACTCTCGTCTATAACGCTGATAGTCTAACAGTACAATTTCCGTGATCAACATAATAGCGCGTTTTAGAAAATTGCATAAAAAACTCAACGCCGTCTAGCGGCATCTTACCTAAATTAAATATATTATGTATAATATTAATAGACGTCTTAACAACAGACTTAGGGCGTCTGATACGTTACACAATTGATAAAGCCATATTAAAACAAAAACTTAAAACTTTGGGTAATGTCCGTTGTAGTTAACGGTTTTAGATCTAAAGAATATAAAATTTGTTCAGGCGTACCTCAGGGATCGCATTTGATGTTATGTTGTATTTGATGGTGTTAGATGTTAACGTTTGTTATACGTTATGCAAAGGTTTTTCGTAGAGTTGAGACAAAAAAATTGCTGTACAACTTATTAGTGCGTAGTGTTCTAGAGTACTGCATTGTGATTTGGAGTTTTCATTTTGCCACATATTCCCTAAGAATTGAACGAATTAAAAAAGAAAAATGTGCCAGTTTGCACATTCGCAGGGAATGGCTAAACGATGTTCTTACAAAATGAGACCTGAGCGATTTCATATGATGACCCTTGAAAACTGTAGGGATAGATTAGATCTTATTTTTCTTTACAAGTTACTACGAAACCAAATTGATTGTCCGATTCTACTAAGCCAAATAAGATTTAGAGTGCCTCATAGACACCCGCGATACCTTATCCAACCACTTTGCCCACCTCTTCGAAGAACCGAAATTGGTACGACCTCATCCATATACAGAATTTGTAACTTGTATAATATAAATAGCGAATATTTGGACGAAAATGCACATTGTTTGCCTTTGTTTTCAAAAAATATTAATATAAAATAGCATTTTGTTGTACAAACATAAGAAGTTATTAGTATTTGTTTCTAATAAAATTTCATAGTTAAGTTAAATGTTATAAGTTCCTTTGCCGTTTTTTTTGCATAGTTAGCTGTGCATTAAATTTAAAACCACAAATTATTGTAACTAGGAAATAAGTTACAATTTAAAAATAAATTGAAAAAAAAAAATATATATGCAAAACCGTCACTTTCAGAATCCGATTTGAGAGAGTCGTTGTAGCTTACATTTATTATGAATTAGTCTACTGATTTGTCGATGTTGTGGTCTATTGACCATAGTGAATATATTGATACGACGACGACATTTACTGGATTTACCAGCACATGGTCCTACCACTGTGGTCTTCGTGTAATTTAACAACAAATAATACAATGAATAAAAAAATCGTCAAAACAAAATAAAATAACCAAACCAAATACCAAATTTAAACCGTGAATATTTCCAAAACTCGACCGAATGCAAACGCACCCACAGGAATACTGTATGATAGATGCAAACGAAAATGGCCGATAGGTTAAGCGCACCTGGCATGAAAAGCGTGTAAAGACATACGAAGATAACTTTGAATTTGGTTTTTTTAGTCGCCTGTGGTATTTTTTATGCATGTCAAAAGGAAATTGAAGTATTTTATATTTTTCAAACTACAAAGCCAAAGAAACTGTATTTATTATAATGAACTGAGTTTTAAGTATCAGTTTTATTTAAATCTGGTATATTAAGCAAACGTAATATAATATTTAATTTTTTATTTTTTTATACATATGTATCATTACAACAATGAGAAATGTAATAAATCTTAATTATAATAAGAAAAATGTGATGTTTACAGCATTCAAATTCACAGAGTGATATGCCTCAACTTAATTTATTGTTTAAGTTACGTCTTTGACTTTTATTATGTTAATCACGCGATGCCAAAATTGTGACAGTTTTGTAGGGAATAGGCGATCGGACGTTGCGAATTGTGTGTTCGGGATAAAAGTCAGGTCAATGAACGCTATTGTCATGCCATTTGGCACAAACTTGTTGTAAAAAATGATAATCTCAGTACAGAGTACTAAAAAAACCGACCTCAAAAGTACGTGGAATTACGTCTATTTGTTAAGTTTTATTGAAATATGTTCGCCAATATACAGGACTTGACACTGGAGATAATAAATATCGGTTCTCACTATTCAAAGTATATCGAGAGAAAAACGCCTTGAATTGGAGAAATTGCAAAATCAACCATTAAAGTAATTGCTCCTAAATTAAAGTTAGGCGCTATTCATAAAAATGAATCTTCATGCGTGAACAGCACCCTTCGAGGTGGATGATTTTCTTCAAAATGAAATGGGACCACTATGGAAGTACCCCCTTTCCAACAAAAAAAGAATTATGAAAATCGGTTCACAAATACCGGAGTTATCGCGTAACATACATACAAAAAAAAGAACATACAATCGAATTGAGAACCTCCTCCTTTTTTGAAGTCGATTAAAAACTACAATTGGTTTAACAAAAAATAAAGCGGAGTTAATTACATTCTAACTGGTGTAGGTTATAGGTGCTAAATAGAGTAACATGAAAACGGAATTCCAAAATATATCGTGACTATTTCAACTCGACAAGTCGAGACTTGTCTACAGTGAAACCAAAGGTAATTTGTTACCAGACAGTTATGATTTTTGAATTTTTTGATTAGTTATTTGTTGTGAGGACTAAAAATTATCACTCCATTTTCTTTTATCTATATGTAGCGACTTTGAAGTAACGAAGATTATTATTCGAAATTATACTGTACATTGGCGCAACCGATGGTAGCATGCAGTGTAGATAATTTTGTAGCCGTGAATGAGCTCGTCCAAGGAAGTACTGGTACCGTACAGTACTTCCCTGCTGCTAACAGTAATGTGAACATTACTGCGTCCCGGTTTTGGAAAGTAAGGGTGCTGGTGAAATTACAAACACATGAGACTTGTAATGTCTGTGGGTGACGCGCGCAGTGGCAGTGGCAGCCGTATCGTAAATATGTGCTGGTTGTGCACATGCGCTGTGTGCAGTGAGTTGATATATAGTACTACTAGACACATCATGAACGGTGAATTATGTCAAGTATATAACGAGCGCGAGGAACAATTGCATATTTGTCGAGAATAAATACATAATTATAAACAACTACAATCCAAAAACAATTGCGTGCATATACAGAATTGTATATATTACAACGGGGCATATCCCCTACCCATTGCACTACTTATCTACTACTGTATGAAAATTCTATGTAAATACAACGTGTACATTTATTTATTTATTTGCAAACTTTACAGCTTTTAAATTTGGTTTACAATTTAGAAATAATCTACTTAAATAGCCAATTACAAAGTTTGTCAGATTATAATTAATTTACGTTACATAAAAACTAATTCGATGCCAGAACGAAGCGACTTAAAATATTGTTTATCAAAAACCAATCTCACAACGTACATGTACACGTGTACATGAAAACCTGACTTGGCAATAAATCGATACTGTTGTATCTAATAAATATTCGGCTTTAATATCTACCTAAGTAATTGCAACTAAATAGGATTCAAAATACCGTAAATTGATATAATTTAGTTTTCGGGAAAGGAAATGAATGAAGAAGTTATGATAGTTGTCATGTCCATAAATTATTTTTTTTTAAGAATGAAATTAAAAATGTGTGAGGTTTCCAATAGTGATGTGTCATAAAATAAATGATGTAGAAATTCACTAATTTAAAATTTAACTCAATTTATGTCAAGTTCGTAGTAATTAATTTTTAACTGAAATTTTGCATTTTGGTTACTTATAATGGACTACACCTTTCTGTTACACTTTGTATAAACAACAAAAGAACGCGTGAAAATGAAAAGTTTTATGTCAGTGATAATGCTACAATAATATAAATTGATATTTTCCAGGCAAGATACTGTTACCGTTTGCGGCAGCAATAGAAGCGGTATGGGACACGTATGCAATGATTCAGGGCTCACCACAGCGACAGTTACAGGTTGAACTCCGCGATGTGTGCCTGTTTGTGCAGCCGCCGCTGCATATCAAGCAAGGGACGCGCTTGCGCGTCGTTTATTTCCGCGGCAGTGGCAAATTTGAGGTAAACATTAGCACTGTCACAACAGTGTAAATCCTTTGTTAACGAATACCATATCTTGGCGATCTCGAGAAACGACTTTGATTTGCTTGAGTGTAAATGAATAACCTGTAGACGCGAATGACAAAGCGACAGCATCTGGAAAAATAATAGAGATACAGCTGAAATCGTCAAATATAGCAGTTGGCTCGAGATTTTTATAACGTTTGTTTCAGTCTGTCTTTTAAAGTACAGATTTGCAAGGCCATTTACGTCTATAATTTCAGGTACAGAATGAAATGGGGCTTGTAGCGTCGGGCTTTATCGCCAATGCTTTTCGTCAAAATATGGGACATTTCCGAAGCGCATTTGAGTCAAAAGAAACGATGGACCTTGTGTCTGACGACGTGTATCAACTCTTTCACGAGAGGGATTACCAATATGAGTAAGATAATACAAATGTACGTACTATATATTTTTGTAAAATATCATGTATTTTTTTTAAACAAATGACCTTTTCAGAGGTGAATTCCGCTCTATTCACAAAGCAAACTCGTCGTTTACTGAAGCTCAAATAATCTGGAAAAACAACTGGGTAACTTTATTGGATGGAATGCTACAGTTGGATAATTTGAGGCAATCGCACTCTTCTTTCTCTACACCCAATAAAATTAGGAGGATTGTGATCGACAATAATAGGATGACAGACGACAATATAATAAAGGAACACGATAAAAAATTGCTACTAGCTCAAGTTTTCGAGGAATATGATTACATGAGGTAACTTTCTTAAATATACACTAAAAGTTTTGTTTAGTTCATCTTTTTATAGAAAGTTATAAATTCCAGATGCGGTGGTATTTTATTAGAAAGTATTAGGTACCAAGAAACATCGATTACAGATGAAATTTCAGCCAATCTGAAGATCGTAAAATTTGTTCCCCACTTTGATGCTAATATCGATGTAAGTATAATCAAATATGTTCTTGAAACATATTAAATGTACATATGACAATATACGGTCAATATACGGTATTTTTTCATCGAATGACGTTAGAAGATTTTTAATGTCAAAGTTATCTCTTTATACTTTCAGACTGCTGCCACCTGGAAAGTTTACTTGCAAATAGTATCCGAAAATGTTAATAAGGACTCTATTAGTATTGTGGGCATTACAAATCAAACGAAGGATATGTTTTGCGACCTAAAAGTTGGCCTCCATAGCATTGCTGGAATAAGCTTTAACTATAGCGAAATGAGTGTCGATAAGTTGTTAATACTGGACAAAAATTTTCTTTCTGAAACTGATTTGGTCCTGGTTCAGAATCTATCGTTGGATGAATACGTAAGCTTTTATAATAATATTAATTTTGTATATGTATCAGCAATGAAGTTCTATGCATTTTGAATAATAAAATATGACAGCTTATACATATTGTACGGTGATTACAGATGTGCCAAATGTTATACCGTGTATTGAAACGAGACTCTTTCATCGTGAACCGAGAAGAGACTGTCAATGATCGCGTACGACCATCAGCTCTTTACAGTGTTCTGTCTTCACACAGCATAAATCATACAAAACTAGAACTTTTGAAATGGAGACCCATACACGTGACTTCCGAGTCTGCTGTTATAACTGTCCGTACAGCTATTGACTTAGATTACCTGGCAAATACCAGATTATCTCTTTCGTGTCGTAAGAAGCTCGTAATTTTGTCTCCGTACCCCTCTGTACCGGGATTGAAAACCGTTGTAAAACAATGGAGAAAAGAAACAGATCAGCCCATTTACCTGGTTTCTGTAACCGACGGAGATAATATGGAACAATTACCTGATACAAATCTGGCGTTTAGTGTATTGTGTAATGTGAGTATTTCCACTGGTTTTATGCGAACATTGATCTTGTGGTCCACGTTAAATCTGTTTTTCTGTTTCATTAGGGTGTTTGGGGTGGGGAGTATTATTTGCCATGCCCTGAAGTAAAAGCAGTGGAAAATAGAATGGTACTTCGAAGCGGTCAAGTCGGTGATATTAACTCTATGTTTTGGATGGAAACCTCAGATGTTGAAAATTCTAAATTGAAAGTTGTGGTACGTCATTTCAATTTTAAATTTCAATGATTATTAATACTAATATTAATTATGTAACACTAAAAGTGAAAATTACAGTATAAATACAATACAATACAGTATGCTTTATTTATCTCAAAAAGGTTCTAGTACTTACATTTCATGTAAAATAACAAGTTCCTTAGAGTGAGTCTGTACTCGGTCGGAGACCAGTTTTACAGTCCATTATTTATGCGTATATACGACACGAATTTCATCGCGTACACCCCGCGTGGTCGAAGAGCGGAGTCTGTCGGCCGCGCGAAAACTTTCTCCTCGTGTGTCTGGGCGTTTAGACTCACTCCCTCTAAGTGTATAAGGAACGTAACATCATTAAAATACATGCAAATTACAAAATAAAGCACAGCAAGCGAAAAACGGATGTGCGTATCCGCGAGTGTGTGCGTAACGTGTGTGTGAGTGTGCGCGCGCACGTGCGTGCGTGAGTGTGGCGTAGATGGGTGCTTGCGTACGTGATTGCGTGCGTGCGTGAGTGTGTATGATTACAACCTTTATTTATTATATTATACACTGAAATATAGACAGGCCAACTACTGAGCTGTGTGTACGTCTTCGTATATTCCAAAAAATATTCTGTATTTATTGTAATAAAGATAATATCTCTAACAATGCCGTGCTGTACTATTCGGTAGTGTGGGAAAATCTGCAAAACATCTAATTACAAAACAAACGGAATCACATTTCATCGGTAGTTAAATGTGAAATATGTAATTTTGCAAATTTCGTCCATTATAGCAAAGCTCAAGTTAATCGGTCGATTTGAAGTGAAACAATTGACGAACACCGTCAATTGTTTCGAACTCGGGCTGGCCAATCGGAGCGCAGTTGTCACAGTAATGATATGGCAGAATAGTTTTCAAACAAATTAGATGACATTTCGTCTCTATTTCTGGTTACATACTCGATGTTTCTGTCCACGGTACTACAGTACTGTTAGGTTAAGAACTCATGGAGCGGTTTTCACCCGCGCCCGCCGCGGTTGCGGGACCGCGGATGGTAAGCTATACGCTCGTCCATAGCAGTCGCAGTGCCACACAGAACTTTAAATCGGTAAGACCTGAGAGGCTCAACCACTACGCCAGTCACCCTGAGATATATGTTGACAAGTCCCATTTGCCTGTAATTTCACCAGCACCAGTAGCGCTCCTTGTGTGTGAATGAGTGTGTCGAAGTACTGCCATCTTACATATTTCTGCCGCCAAGCAGTAATGTGAGATTTACTGCATATCGGTTTTGAAGGGTGAGGGTGCTGGTGAACAGAGTGACGAGCGTAGTGACAATGTCCCTCAGATCTCTGCGATTTAAAGCTCTGTGTGGCACTGCAACTATTATGGACAGGCATGTCGCTTACTCCCAGGTGCATGGCTTGTTCGTCCTGTCACTCGGTATCATAAAAAGATAATATTTTTTATCTACAGGTTCATTACGCAGCGTTGAGCAATTTGGACATGCAAAAAGCAACCGGTGTGGTGTCAGTCACAACTGATCATCTTAACAGCAATTGCTACGGAATGGACTTCAGTGGAGTGACTGAGAGGTAAATTAATTTAAAAAATTTGAACTTCAAGTACTTATTTTATTACCATTCCGAGTGTCAAGCAATGCAAACTAAAATGAACCATAGTATACAGTAAATGTACTTAATTTATACATTAATATTTATTTCTCAACAATTAATCCGCTTTATTTCCAAAACATTGTGCAAATGTCATCGTTTTCTCGTTACAGTGGCGAGCGAGTGATGGGTTTGCTACCTAGAGGTGCAGCAAGCACTACGGTGTTAGCAATCCCCGAACTGGTGTGGCCTGTCCCTAAACACTGGACCCTCGAAGACGCTGTCACCGTACCCTCTGCTTTCGCTCACGCTTACTATATCCTTGTTAGTATACTGAGTTTCTTTCTTCTATTTGTCATCAAAGCATACTTATATCGTATTAACAGCAGTATAATGTGTCACTTTACTGCGTGGTTTTTGATAACTACCACCACTGCTAATTTATATCTTTCCTTGGTGGAACGCGACTAAGGGATAAGTCCAAAAGGGTAATTAATTGTCTTTGTGTAGTGGATGAAAGTCAATATTTATTTATCACATAACACATACTTTATACAAATTGCCATCTCACCTGGCAACTCTGTGCCCGTAGCAAAATTTAAATTACTGCAGATTATTGCGGTTTGATGTGAAATATCCGCGACACAACTGAGTGTCGATGTTTTTAAATTCGTAGCGCCTGAAAATGGACTTTATTGGACATATGCATTCCATATTAATTCACGGAGGAGCTGGTGCATTGGGACAAGCCCTGATCTCAATCGCGCTCTCGGCGGGCAGCGAAGTATTTACTACAGTGAGCGACATATCGAAGAAGCGTTTTTTGACTAGACTTTTTCCGCAACTGAAAGGTAAAACAATTATAAGTTTCATAGAAGTTGGATCAAATAAAAAACTATTAAATATTTTGGAGTGCGACAGAAATTATTTTGAAACCGTTAGACATTTTCGATACTTAATAGAATTTTGGATATTAGAAATTCATCATCACATTGAGATCGCATTCTTTGGCGTTGAGAATACAGTTTATGTACTCGTAGTGCATGGTGACGCGAAGCATAATGGTCAAAACATAAGTATTATTTATTTATTACAGTACTTGTACTTATAGTCTGAAACTTCTTAATTTAAGAATCCATTCCTAGTGTCCATTATCTGATATTTGTTTCAGAGGATCACATTTTCAATTCCCGTGACCCTTCATTCTCAGATATGGTCATGTTTCAGACCAATGGAAAGGGGTGTTCTGCTGTTGTCACAGCAGCTAAAGGGGAACTTAAAGAGGTAAGGATATTTTGCAATTCTACAGCTCAAGAAGACCTGTGTGGGACTAATTTGTTATTTGTTGTGTTGTTATTTCTTGCTAAATAACATGTGATATTTTCCAGATGTACTGCAAAGTATGCAAGCATTCTGGTTTCGTGTGCGATGTCGATCAGAGTAACAGCCAAGAAAATTTTATTTTCAAGATGAACTATCTATCTCGTGAACGAAATTACGCCCGCATTAATTTCAACAACGTTTTCGACGATCCTGAGGCTATCAAAGTAGGCAACGAAGGATGTTATAATATTGAAATATTGACAAGTATACCAATACTAATACTATGTCCAACCCTTTCTCTACTTCTCTTTTTTTTCTATAGTTTGTAAAGCAATTCGCGCTTATTTGGTCTTTAAATATCTTACAGTCAAAAGAAACCAAAACAATGTGCGTATTAAAAGGACGTTTTTGTTTATTCAGGCGATTCAAACTTTGATGAGCGAAGGTATCGCCCGTGGTTTTGTGCGTCCTCTGTCGCGAGTTATCTACGACGCAGTTGATATTCCACGTGCGTTGAATCTATTGGCTTCATCGGCTCATCGTGGCCGAGTAGTACTGCGAATGCACCAGAAAGTGCCAGCCTCTCAGCCAAGGTAAGAATTGCTATTCCGAACTTTTCCCTTTTTCCCTTCCGAACTAATTTCATTCCTAGAACAGCATTTAGGAAACATCGGTCAGAACGGACTGCCTTCGTATTACCAAAGCGAGGTATGTCAACGCGAGCCTACATTTTAGGTGGTGAGGTGTGGAGGACCGCGCGCTGAAAATTAATATGAATAAAATAAGAACAGACAGAGAAAATTACACACAGATCCGACTTCGACAAGCGCCTGATGGCCACTGATGGGGCAGCGGGCGGCACGGCGCGTCGTTAAATCGCTAGGCGATTTTCAAATTTTGGAAAAAATGTGAATTTAATAATAACTACAAAGCGTTAGTTGTCTGTAGATTCACTAAAAGAGAAATATTTCCATGTAAAAAAAATATTTTGTGTGACCACCCAACTTTGATCAAGAATGAACATATTTCGATTCAAAGGAAATTTAAATATAACGCCATCTTGAATATATGGTTTTTTGTAGTAAGCGTGTATATGTTGCAATGTGGCTGGGTAAATGACGACAATATTAGACTACTAGCTAAAATAAACTGATCGGATATTCTGACCAAGAATGGTACATTGGGTGCAGGAAAGGATGCTCCAGTTTGCGAGATTCCCTCAACAATGAGACAATTTTATATAAAGATATTTTAATTCAAATCACTTGAAGTACTAATTAATAAAAATTATTTAAGGCAAACAGCCATCCTGACTGTCACGAAAATCTCCTACTGCGTTGTTAAATTTGTGTGACCACGCAACTTTGATCAACAATTAACATATTTCGATTGAAAGGAAATTTAAATATAACGCCATCTTGAATCCATCATCGTGGCTGGGTAAATGACGACAATATTAGACTATTAGCTAAATAAACTGATCGGACATTCTGATCAAGAATGGTTTTGGCATTGGGTGCAGGAAAGGATGCTCCAGTTTGCGAGATTCCCTCAATAATCAGAACATTTTATATAAAGATATTTTATATTCAAATCACTTGAAGTACTAATTAATAAAAATTATTTATTTGCGGGTACATCCAGACATTATTATTTTTACGTGTTGAAAAAACAAAGTGTTGAAGTAAGTGAATCAATCGTCTACGTACCAGTTTGGTATTGCGTATTTGAGCCTGTTGTCTGGTGAGCTGCTAAATTGTCTGGTCGCGTCTCGTCAACAACTACAAAGATATCATCATGTTATAATAAGGACTTGAACATCTTGTTACTGTAAATTTTGACGATCACGACAATGATAATTTTCACGATAATTTCATGGTCTACGTTGACTCTTGTTCAGGTTCTCTATTTTCACTGATCTGAGAGTTAGAGTCAATTAGATGTACTCTGATGAAACGAAATGAAATGAAGTAACTAAAACCCATGCTTCGATTTCAGTTGGAAAACTGAGAATTATGTCTTTACTTTTGTTCGTGTTTTGGTGTATTCATCATCAATAAATTATTTTGTGTAAGTAACTCTTTCACAATTCCCTATCATTTGTGGTCAGAACAGCCGAACCATAATGTACGCAGTTACTAATAATACTCGCGCTTTATTATTAAAACACACGAGTATGTGACTATTATGACTTATCAGTCCTGGCATTGTCGAAGACAGTTATCACCTCAACATAGTGTGGCAAAGTTTAATTTATTGTTTTCATAATGTACATTACACGATAAAATTTTGACCTACGTTACTACGCAATCCATGCGAGTACGAGCCTGGAGTGAGAAGAATAAATAGGAAGGCTTGTGTGAATTGAAAGATGAAAGTAAATGAGGCGTAGGAGGTTTCTTAGGATCGTGTGGCGTGACGGTCGATGGTCTCTCCCTACCCCAATGGAATCCATAGGCGTGCATGTTTATTACGTGTTGTTTGCAAATTACCAAAGACATAATTTACTCGCTATTTGCGAATCAGATTTGGTAGCTGATCTTGAAAGTGTCGCATCAACCCCGAGGTGTGTTCGATTGTTTGTTTGTTTAGGAATGTCACGTCGCCGCTTGTTTTCACAGCTCAAGTTACTCAAGTCAAGTATTTTGTCAAGTCAGATAAAGACGCGGAACGAGTGGCGCTGTTGTCGTTTGAATGTATTCAGTTAATCGGAGTCGCGCATCGGAGAGAAGGGCTTTTTACTTTGACGGCTTAAAATGCAGTGAAATACACCACGTTACAAGAGTCCGTTTTAATCGGATGTGCCTTTTGCATTTTCAAACAAATATGTGATAAATAAACATAAGAAGAATAAGGCTTGATCCCATGGTACAGTCAACTTGAATTGAATGTTAGTAAAATGTGAAACTACTGTTAGCCAACTAACTACTGCTACTATTTGACACTCTGTACATCTATGTGTCGTAAAATGTAGGGTCTTGTGTTGTAGTTGTAGGTAGCTGTGTATACAGGAAAGAGGTAAGCGAAGACTATAACAGCCTAGCCTGAACCATAAAATTACTATATATATGAAAATAGATAGTACAGGAAACCTATAACCCTGCGACCTGAGAAGAAAAAAAATGGACGAAAAGGGAGTATAGGGAGTGCACACATCGTGAAACACGCACAGCACTGCCAGTCAAGTAGGTTTACGAAAAATATATTCAAGTTGAGTAAATATAGTAAATTCATAAAGTGAAGTAATATCATACAAACGGTTTGTAACAAAATGGGTACTTTACAAGAAATACATGAACAAACTATGTAAGCTTAAAAAATGCATAGAATTTAGTATAGTCAATAGTAAAATAAAATAATTTATAATAAGGAAGGGATGTAGTGCATGTCGATTGTCTCGAGTGCATACGTCACATGTGTGGGTGTAGAAGGGGTCTGTCAGTGTTCGACCGCCAACCCGGAGGCACGTATTGGTGCGTAGGCGACCCAAATACCAATACGCTATTACTTGTAAGAGCGAACACTACAGGTGTATCTTATATTTTGTAAGATAGTTATTTATTAGTAAATACTTAAGCCGTTTGATCTAGCACAACAGTTTTTCCGCTTCTTCTCCGGTGAATCGCCTTAATCGCTGTGTTTTAAAATGTTTTATTATTTTTATAGTCGTTTTTAAACAAAAATATATGTTATTCTTTTTATTTACAGGATCACCTGTTCGCCAGCACTATCGCACGTGGTGGTTTGTGCCGACGAAATCGTTGGCATCCAATTATCTGACCGTTTGGTTCGTCGTGGAGCGAAGAAATTGTTATTACACGTCTGCGGATCCTCTGGTTATCTTCGACAAAAGATTCGGTATGATCTTTTCGAATGTGACGATTTATTAATGATCTAATTTTTACATCTTAATTTTATTTTAGTTCATGGGAAAATAATGGTGTCAACGTGAAGATCGTTTCTGTAGATTTAGACATGAAGGGCGTGACGAATCTTTTGAATGTAAGCAATCACATTGGACCAGTTGAGGGCATATTTATGACCGTGAACAATTGTCATGGAAATAAAGTAGTTGACAATTTATCAACGTTGACAAATTTGGACTTGGCGTCAAGGAAACTGTGCCCATCGTTAAGGTGAGATTAAATTACGGTAAGGTAAGAATCGAAGTATGAATTAAAACAAAATTAAACAAATACAAAATGTAGTTATGCAATGTACGAAATAAAATACGTTAAGAGGTAGGTATAACAAATTTTAATCACGTGGAATAATTGTAGAATATTTTAATAGGGTAGTGATGCAAGACGTGATGCTGAAATATGCTGATGTAAAAAAATCCAAAATTAGAATTTTGTTCTTAGGTACTTCGCAGTAATCAACTCAGGGAGTAACATCGGAAGGAAGACGTGTCTGGAGAGATCTCGTCTTTGTTTACCTGCTACAACAGTTGACTTACATGCGGTAAGTAAGCATATCAATTAATGACTGGCATTCAATGGACTTTATGCCGATTTTACTGCCACCTCTGTGGGTACAATGAAATTTCATCATATTTTGGATATCAAATAATGACATTTAGTAGAGACAGTCTAAAAATGTATAGGGTCCCAGTTTGTTAGTTTTCCATTAAATTTTGTAGTTTTAGAAAAAGACGGAACCAAACCACGTGAAAATGGCCAAACATTTAAAATATTCGATGAAAAGGGCGCAGCGTTTATAATTTTTTATTTAAAAGTTGTGTGTAAGTGTGTATTTTCATTCGCCTGTCATTTAAATTCAAATTCTAAATAATCTTTATTTCATAGGTAAGCATTATTACACTTGAAATCGTCACAATAGTTAAACTCTACCGCTCATTCGTAAGGCAGATTCCCCTGAGAAGAATGAGCAAGAAACTCTAGGGGTTGCTCTTTGTAAATAACATTTACAATATTTTTTTTTTTATTTGAAACATCAGAGATCGAGACTACCTCCATGAGCTAAACGGGTTACTACCACGGATTTTTGTCATCCAAGTACGCAGAAGTTGTATAATAACCTTTAGTATAAAGTTTTTGTTTCACTATAGTTTTAAACCTCGTGAAAGGCAAATTTTGTATATAAACCGGAATCTTGTTATAGAAGCGTATACATTGCCCCTTAAATGATTTTTTGACTTTGTGAAGACGACTATCAAGAAAAGCTAGTTTATTTCTATTCCTCGTATTAATGTTACGTCTGTCACTATTTTTCATAAATAAATTACTATTCCTTTTAACATAAATTACATTTTCATAAATGTACTGTGAGGCTAGTGTAAGAATGTTAATTTCCATAAACTTATCTCTCAAAGATACTTTGGGGCCCAGATTGTAAATTGCCCTAACTGCACATTTCTGCAGGACAAAGATTCTATTGATATCGGCGGCATTACCCCAAAGCAAAATGCCGTATGTCATTAGACTGTGAAAGTAGCTGAAGTAAACCAATCTAGCGGTTTCGACGTCTGAGAGTTTTACACTACACTAATGTAGTTGAATTTGGACTATTTGTCTATACAGAAACTTTGTACCATAATATTTTAAAATTGGTTTTAAAAGAACCGCAGCAGTCACTACAAAAATGTTTCGATAAGTTTTCGTATTTATAATCTTTTACTATATATTTTATATTATTCCTTATTATTGTATTATTTCTATTGAAATATTAAATTTAACCGTACTTACTTTTGCGCCTTCTTTACGACATATTGTCATATTCTCTCATTGTATTTCTGCGGTTGGCTTCGCACTTTTCTACATTGTGAAACTTGTGAAAGAAACTATATTGTCAAACCTAATCTGGTCTTGTGTATTCATTGTTCTTACCTCCACTTTAATACATTCAACTACGGGGTTGTGAACCTTTAACGTAAATAAAGTTTATTTTACCTTCTCATACAATCTGTCAGTGAAGCAATTTTTTTATCCAATACCCTAGGCATTTTAATGAAAATAATTATTAAATGTATATGAATTTTCAGTTTTCCAATTCTGACGAGGCAGTGTCCGGAAAGCTGACATGGCGTAGTTTGATCGACGCCACTGAGGCTGCCGTATGCAGTGCTCAAGTGGATGTTGCTGCTTTCCCGCAGAGACGAGTGGCCAAGACAGTCACTGAACAAATAGCTGACTTGGCTAGTAAGATTTCAATAAAAAATATTGAATATAAAATTTTTGGTGCAGGTGAAATTACAGGAACTCGAGCCACAAGTTGATAAACTTGTGGCTCAGGGTAATAGGCGCAGTGGTAGTGTCCCTCAGACCTTTGTGATTTAAAGCTCTGAGTGCAACTGCTACGGACAGGCGTCCCGTCGCTTATTGTCATAAAAAAAGAATATAAACGTGTGTTCCATATGTTTTATGGTCTCATGGTGATACATAAGGGTTACTTGTGAAAAATATGTTGATCAAAATTTCTACAATTTTAAGGGTTTTATTTTGTGCTATTTTTCATTGTTTGTTTTATGAGTAGGAGTTATTATACTTATTATCTGTATAACACAAAATTAGATTCCATTTGAATTACAGGTATACAATTGTCGGACGATCCTGAAATGACGTATCTTGTGAATCCTGCCAAAGCGCCAATCATTCAGACGTTCCTTCGAACTATGCACAATGTCCCTGTTGATGCTGAGGATTTAATCACGTTGACAGCTGCTAAGTGAGTTCAATACTGCTTTAGTTTCAATGTTGAATGTCAGTTATAATTATATAACATTTAATACAATCTGAAAATAATTTGGTGTAATATTAGTATATTCCATGGTAGTAAATCATCATTATTTTCAATAAGTTCAATATTACCATTATTAAAGCAACACCTCTAGTTACTCGCTGGTAGCTATAAAGGTACCTGACTGAGTGAAGCAAAACTTTCATAGACTTCTCACAGGTGGCACAACAGCAAAAAGTCGTTTAAAACCAAAATCAAAGATCTGCAACAAGCACGTGAAAAATTCGTAAGATTCATTCCGTGGCTCAATTTGGAGAGCGTCAAACACGATATGCTGAAGGCGCTGGTTGAAATCCAGCCGGATCGAAGGAATTTTTCTTAATATGTTAATATTATTACCGTTACCTTTATGTTTGATTTGCAAGGCTAAGAAGCATCGAAAAGTACCTAGGGGAAGAAGTAAGAAAGGAGTTGCATGGCCTGGGCACCTTTTACTCCTACGAATATTTCGATGAGTTAAAGGATACCGTTCCCTTGGTGGCGCTGCAGACTCTTACCGAAGCAGAGCCACAGGTATTAAAATACAAGTTTAATTTATAAAGTAATAATTATATTTTGAGAATCTAAAGAAGGATGTTACTACTCATACAATGACAAATGCTTATATATCAGCTACATACTGTTTGATGACGCTGCCAGCATTTCACTAATAACCTTGATTTTCAATAGCACCAAGTGAGGGCAAAGTTTCTCATTGGGCTTTTTCTTTTTTTGCACCTTTGTGCACCTCAATAAAATTATGTGTTACAGGATTATGAAGAGTTCGATGTAACGAAGCAATATGTATGCATAGTACCAGGCTTAGAAGGGCATCATGCTCGTTTCCGCTTGATGTGCGAGCGATTCAAGACAGGGGCGGTGGTGCTTCAGCCCAGCCTTGACTACCCTTATGACACAGTGGAGCAGACAGCTGATAAATATGCCCAGGTAAAACTATAACTTGCCTTTTCTGTTACGAGGACTACCGAAATCGACCTTCCAGGGTATTCGATGTGCTTTGCCTATGATCCTAAGCAGTATGTACTATGTACAAAATGATCTGATCTTTTCATCTCAGTTCTTTTAATCTTGAATTAATGTCGTGGTTGCAGAACCGTTCTACTCGTTGCCGACATTCTGATGCACTCGCCTTCTAATTTCAATTACATTGCATGATATCACCAAAATGAATTTTACGCTTTATTATTGAATATGGCACATTACGTACTTCTAACTTGCATTGAAGGACTGATAGTGTAGATCAAATTGTCCATAACTATGCTAAGATTGACTGAATAAATTTTATAATTGAAATTTATCTTATGAATCATCCTATTGTTCTAGTCCAGGAATAACTTATTCAATTCATTGTGACATTTGCAGTTACTCCGAGACAAAGTGAATATTCAAGACAACTTTTACCTGGTGGGTTACGAGAGTGGTGTTCTGGCTGTGTTAGATATTGCCGCCATTTTGGAAGACTGCGGTAGGTTTCCGAACAAATCATGTGCTTAGTATATGTATAATAATTATTTATAATTATTGACTCGGTATTTTAATTCAAGCTAAACTTAACAGCACTTATTTATTCCTCTTAAGCATGTATAATTAATATTGGGCCTAGAAAACAACGCGACATACTAAAATCGTAGGGACAACTCTACAGAAATTCCTTTACCTTTTCAAGTTTTTGACGAATAGACAGCTATATCATCTTGTTTCACATTTTATTATCACCTGACTGTAACTTATAACTTACTGTACAACCACGTATTTACTATTTATCGTACACAAGAATGAAAACTGATTGCAGATTTTCAAAATTTTTCCAGGTCTTAAAGGTACCGTGTTTTGCGTTGGTGGCGCCCCCGAAGAGTTCCAGGCGACCCTCAAACACGAGCTAAGAGAGTACCAATCGGATGAGGAGCTGCAGAACGCCGTCATCAGGCACATGTTTGTGTTGATGAAGGGTGACGATTGTGGCCTTGATGAGGTGATTTCTCTATACTTTATCCAACAGCGTATTGTACACCTTTTCCTTAATAAATTATATTGTACTTAATTGAATCGAAAGACTACTTAGGTGCTTAAGTACTACTTAACTACTTAAGTGCTTTTGACAAAAACCTAATCAGTATTGTAGATTATTTCCTCAATCGTGGATAGATACAAATGAATTTAGCATATTTCAATTCAATTTAAGTCAAATATTGTTTATTGCATGCAAGTGAAACAATCATTAATTAGTCGGGTAAGTATTGAAATGATATTTTTAAATAGAAACTGATGGCATAATGTTGTAAAGAAGCACACAAGAAAACAACATTATAGTCGTCACCATATAAGAGGCCAAATTTGACGCTTACCATCGTAACGCGAATAGGGATATGGACTAATCATATTGGTAATCACATTATACGATTTTCACGAGAAATCGATTCAAAATGTTAAGTTTGAGTTTGTGATTGTTTAGATTATTTTTCGGTACATTATTGTTCAGGGGGCCTGTTAAAAGCAATTCATTTACAGAATTCCTTGCAATTCTGTAGCAATTCCTCTTATTTAAGTAAAATTGTCCCGTATTCCGATGAATTGGATCCAATTCTTTTAATTTTGATTTTATAATATTCATAAATGGTTTATTACGAGAATTTAGTGAAAATAAGTAAGTTCATCGATAAAACAGCTACATAAAAAGCTTAAATTACCAAGAAACCAAGGAGTTCATAAATTTTCAATTATTCGGCTGGCAATAAGTTAGAAGTTGTCAATGTCAACAACAAACATCTCAAATAATGTTCGTAATTTTTTGTAATATATTTTTTAAGTATTTTCTCCGAGAAATCGAAGTGACTCGGTGAAATTCGGCGATTAAAGCTTACATCACTATTATTAAAAAAAAAAAAAAATAGCTTGAAGACGTAATTGTTCTCAGAACATTTCGGTGTAACTCAAAATTGTATTGCTTTGCAAAACAGCACTTCAAATATGTTTTGTCATATTATATAATGTTTCAATAAAATGTATGTATTTTTAAAAAACTCAATTATGCTAATAATTGTTTGTTTATTGTTTCGTTGATCGCATTCAAAGTTGCATTCTATCGCCTTCTTTAGCTGTCAAATTTGGCCTCTTATTTGGTGACGACTATAACAACGACTGACAAAGGTTTAAAATTATTGGTTGTTGTCATCCAGTTGCCAACACAACTCTTAATAATCATAAAATGTAAAACATAATGACTTCTCATGTTTAGCTGCAAGAGTTGGAAAAGGTATCTACATTTAAAGAGAAGATAGATGTGTGCATGCGACTGTTGCTCGGACGTGTGCCTCACTCAGCACAGTATGCGAAAACGCTAATCTTGTCTGCATACACGCGGATCAAGCTAGCACTGCAGTACAAACCACAGCCGAGGCAGCTCAATTCTAGAGTAATTCTCCTACACTCACCATCGATGATACTTGAAGACCCTCGCGACACCCCAGTAACATTACTCCAACAGTACTCCAAACAACCAGTCGTAGTTCACGAGCTGCATGAACCTCTAGCATACGCCGCCCTCGATCTTCGTATCCCGGCAATCATCAACACCTATTTCGATAAAAACATCAAAGAAGCTTACGGAAAAGCCAATCGATGCGAAAATCACAAGGTTATGGGTGCTCTATTCTGTGATTCTCAAGACTTTGATATGAACCAATGTTAATTCTATAACTCGGAATGCAATTTGAGTTCTGTGTTTAGTTGTTATGATGTATTTAGATATATATACACACATCTATTTCTTAATCTGTTAATCTTTTTTTCAATAAATGTATTTTTGTTTGAACAAAGTCTTTCGATATTGTATTAATTTCTTGTAAAAATAAATTAGAGAAATTGCAATGATATAGGTGAATAAACCGATGACTTTTCCAGAAACAAAACCTACAGTATGGTCAATTACCGAATTGACCTTGTTATATTCAATATACCGACTGAATATAGTTTGGAAACAATGTTTGAAAGGAGAAACATGAAGTACAAGAGATAAAAAGAACAAGAAATAAAAAATTCTATTTCAGATAGTCTTTGTGCCTGTTTGTTCACCACATAAAAACTGGTCATAATTAAACTTGACCGAATTATTAAAATCTCTTGGAAAGCTATAGTTATCATAAGTTTTCTCTAAAAATTACGAAACTCCGCAAAATTATAAGATGGTATTAGCCGAAATTATAAAGCGTGAAAGGTACAAAAGCGGGTGCGAGTCGGGCGCGGTTCGAGTTTAATTCCGTGTATTTATATGGGCGACAACATATCGAGGGCGGGCGCGTGCGCCTGTCCCGCACTAGCTCTCTGTGTGTTTCATGCTTAATTGTCATATTAACCCGTTACGCCCGTGACAGCCCCGATCACATCCTGAGCGCGTTGTGCGCACGCTATGGGTTTAGCCGATGTTCGCCCATTGGATGCGACTGCATACCCGTCGCAAAGCACTATGAATGTTTATTTGTTTTTGTATTGTGTAACTAACCCTTAGACTTCAGGGTTTTATACATATATATATATATTTATAATTTACTAACAATCCTGGTTCCAAAATAAATGTTGATTATTATTATTATGCTTTGCATTTTTCTCAGTCAGTTGGCTGGTTTGAACCGCACTTTATTCTTATTATAAAGTCTAATGCTTTAAGAAGTGAACTGAATATGATCTTTTGTCTGTCTTATAGGTAGATATTCATATTTTCTCAGTGAACTAAACATATCAAAAGTGTCTAGACCAATTTCTCTGCAGACCGATTACCACAGAACTAATCATTACATTTCAAAAGAATATCGACAATAGTTTAAATGTCCTCCTTCATATACCGGAGGTTCCAAATAATTTATATAGCACGATATTTAATTGCATTAAAAATGAATTTGATACCGTGTTTACATCGAAAACTTGTAATACTAATTCCAGTTTTATAGAATATGTTAAAAATATTTTAAAAAGTATGTGTAGCTGCTAAGGTTAAGTTTTACAGCGATAAGATCATACCATCGAAAAATAAATCTAAATCTACTTAGAGTATAATAAATAAGTCAAGCAGGGTTAAATAACATGATAGAGATATATGTAGTTCTAGAATTAGACGTCAAACTTGTTAAATGTAAAGATGAAGTAGCCCAAGCTTTTTAATCGTTCTTTTCGGAAATCGCTGTGAACATTACAAAATCATCAAATTCCTCTTTATCTCATGCTTTTGACCTCCTAAAGAAAAATCTTAAAGTTTGTGGCAGTGTATTTAATTTTCACCATGTTAATTTAAAAGACATTATTGATGATTGTAAATGTATACATGTTAAAAAAACTGAAGATTTTTGGGGTATATCGACTAAAGTTATAAACTCGGTAATTTATCTAATTTCCCCAAATTTAGCTGTTGTACTCAATAGGTGCGTTGACGGAGGTATTTTTCTAGTTAAGCTGGAAGGTATCGTGATTAATAATGATAAATGAACGCTCACTAAATGCTAGGAACTCGGGTACTTGACTACAGTGCAGCGACAGCGTCCGCAAGATGGGCGCAAGTAACCTTTGGGTAGGGACGGACGAGTAAAGTGCGCGATTTCCTTCTTGGGCAGTGTTGCGGTTTTTGCGGTGTCGTTGATTTGTTATTTATTATAATTCGAGAAGTTGATTGATCTCCTTGAAGCTGGAATTCACCCGTAAATAATAATACCGAATAACTGGGTAACCGAAGATTAATAACCGAAAAAACCGGTTTTCAAAATCATTCAGTTTTTGCATGTGCCGAGAGAGCGAAGCGGGCGTGTCGCGACAGTGGCGAGTGCCAGAATAAATTATTTGCGTTTTCGAGCTGTGTCGAATATTACTATGTATACCGTTTTTAGAACAAAAACTCAGTGCTGCACTTTAAGCAAAAAACAAAGAAAAAGTAATTTCTTCTAAACGTTTAATAGGTGATTCTGCTTGGTTATAATAAAGTTGAATATAAATGGTTTATAGGTGATTTGGAATTAGTTGAGGCGAAGTTGCAGAGCCTTGAACACGCCGTAAAGTTGCCTACTTAGCGATATTCTACAGAATATAACACGGAGTGTGTGCGATGGAATTGCATAAATTGATGTCGCCTTTCTCTTTCCATCATCGGGGGACTATTCAACGACTCCACCCCTATGTTGTAAATACTACCAGGATTCGTACAAAGCGTTTCACTTTTATATGTTTTATATGTACACTTCCACATTTATATGGCGAGCAGCTAGAGAGTGGAATTCCTGGCCTGCCGGATGTATTCCCCGAACGCCGTAACTTGGACCTTTTCAAAGTGAGAGTGAATAGGCATTATTTAGGTATGCCTCCTATATCTACCTCATCACCACTTTCCTGGTCTGGGCTGGTTCCTCCGCCAGTGATACGCCTTTGCGGGCGGTGGACTGGTGGATCCAGACTTGGGTATGGACTTACTGGGGGTTGTGGTTAGCTGTAGAGAAGGACATGTTTCTCTGCCCCGGTGGTCTAGTTGAGGGCCTGAAGCGAAATGACTACCCGAGGCACTAGCCTCTCGAAGAATTGAATGAAGTCAAGTGACAGAGGTGTGTGACAACCTGGATCTGGGGATAGAACCTGAACTTATAAGGTTCCTGTGCGCATATCTTCAGGGTCGGTAGGGAGGGTCACTATAATCAAAAGTAACGTAGAAAAATATGGGGCTGGTCTGGGCTGGTGAGTCCGCTAATCGATTTTCTGGATACAGATACGACTTTATTAGATATACGGCTGCGAATAGTCGACCTCCTACCGTAACTGCGATGACTACCACGACGACTAGATGGAGACGATATGAGAGCTTAAATCCAGGTTTAGGTTCGATTTCTTCTGAGCTGATAGAGGAGCTAGAACGAGACAATGAAAAGTCACTATCACTTTCTATCTCCTGTTCTCAATGTTCAAGGTCATATTCACCTAACTCCGATTTGTCAACGTTTCCGATGATTTGTGCAACCAAATCGCATGTTAATATCCCTAAAAACAAAAAAAAAGTAAAAAAAAAAACAAAATCTAGTCATTTCCATACTGACAAGCACAATCGTGTTTTATGTCTGCATAAAAACCAAAATTTCCAACAATTTATTGTTTAATTATTTTTTATATAAAATATAACATATACTTAATAAGAAAATACATCATTAGGTCAGAAAATATGAAATGATGAAATTTAAAAAAATGTTGCTTTACGACCTCCCGTCCGTCACGTACACGACCACACTTGTCGCACTCGACATAGGTGTGCAACCCTCCCCCCCGAAGGGGTTCCC